AATGGTATTCATAATTAAATGCACCCAATAAGTATAAATACAACCTTAAGACATTCTATTGTTAATTAGAACATAATATAGTTCAGAAAGTTATGTTCCACATCCTGGTTTTATGAGTAATGTCTGGGGTCTTAAAACATGCAAGTGACCATTTAAGGTTGCTCTATTAGTTGTAACATCCTAATAGCTGTAATATACAATTATTGGTCTCTACTGGTCTAAAGGGAGTTCTGGTAGCATAGTGCCTAAGGCACTTGACTGCTAACCAGAAGGCTAGAAGTTCAAACCCACCACTGATCGGAAGGAAGGTTGGGCAATCTACTTCTGTAGTGATACCACCTCAGAAACCCAAGGAGGGATCACTATGAGTTGGGTCCGACTTGACAGCACATAACATCAACAATAATTGGTCTGGAGCCAAAGAGGAAGAAGGAAACCAAAAACCCAAAGAAGAAACTAATCTACAGGACAAATAGTCTACACAAACCATGGCCTTATCTAACCTGACACCAGAAGAACTAGATGGTACCTGGTTACCACTGCTGACCATTCTAATCAAGAGCACAACAGATGGACCTTGATAGAATGAGAGAAAAATGTACAACATGACCTCCAATTACTAATAACAACAACAAAAAAAGGACCTATTGGATTGGTTGAGACTGGAAGACTCCATGAGACTAGTGCCCTGAGACACGCATTAAACCTTGAACCGAAGCAAAACTCCTGAGAGGTCACCTTGTGACTAAATAACAAACTGGCTCAAACAATAATGAATATCGCCTATAAGTACTGTGCTCCTTTAAAAAATCACCTATATGAGACTAAAAAGGAGCTCTTGTGATGCAGTAGATAATGTATTTGGCTGCTATCCCGAAGGTTGGTGCTTCAAATCCACCAGCTGCTCCATGGAAGGAAGATGAGGCAATCTGCTTCTGTAAAGATTTACAGCCTTGGAAACCCAATGGGGGTTGCGATGAGTTGGAATCAACTTAATGGCAGTGGGATGAGACTAAACGGTCAACAGTTACTTTAAAACAATGATAAGAATGTAAGAAGGCATGGAAATTAGAATAATGGAAATGGAACATACAAAAGGGAAATAATGAGAATGTTCATGCATTGTGAAGAGTGTAATTGAACAACTTATGTATAAATTGTTGAACCTAAATTATTGTGTATACCTTCACTGAAAACACAATGAAATTTTGTTTTTTAAAAAAGTTACAAGGTGAATGGAGTGGGGAAAATTAAGTTCCTTCTATTTTGTACCCAACTAGCAAGGAGAAAAGAACTCAGGTACTTACGTATCTGGTTGGTGGATGCACTATAGAAGGCATTGACTGTTGTTGGATTTGTGAACCACCTGGAGAAAGAGAAGCAAATGCCATAGTGTGAACATCATTATACAAGCAGGAGGGCAATAAGGACAAATACAATGCAGCTGGACTGATGAATGAATGATCATAGAACAATGGGATGTTGTAAGTGAGGGCAAATGATCCCCTCAGTTTAGGGCTATGGCTCTATACAATGAACAATTTCATTCTAAATTAAACATGGTTCAATGAAAATATATTAACATGCCTGGCTAGTCAGTGTTACTAGCTTAATGGAAAAAGTCAGCACAAGTGCTTCTTAAAGGGCTTTAATGAGAAATACCAGAATCTAAAGGGCTCTCCTTGCACACAGAAAAACAGCAACAAGTTGATGGCTGTCTGGCCCTGTTCATCAGATCAATGGGACAGCTGGATTTTCATTCTGTATCACCTGATTTGTCCGTTAAAATGCTTGGAGTTGGTGGCAACACATAGGGCCAGATAAAGAGAGATGAATAAGGTACAACTATGTTACCCAGATGATGCATCTGTTTCTGTGGAAAGCGTGGTGAATTAAGCACCAGAAGATGTAGAAACTGGTCCAGCCTCTATGGCTGACAAAAAACAAAGCAAACCATTGGCCTTGAGTTGATTCTGACTAATGACAACCTGACACACAACTGTGTTCCATAGGGTTTTCAGTGGCTGAATTTTTTGTAGATTACCAGCCCTTTCTTCCAAGTCACGTATGTTGTTGTTGTTGTTATTTGCCATAGAGTCGGCCCCGACTCCTACCGACCCCTCCTTGGGTTTCCGAGGCAGTTATCACTACGGAAGTAGGATTGGCAACCTTCCTTCCGAGGAGTGGCTGGTGGGTTTGAACC